TTTTTGCCACTCTTTTCTGGATATCTCCCAGTACAAGGAGATAAGGCTCAAACTTGATACTCTATAGACCTTCCCTAATCCCAGCATCTGTGCAGCTCTTAACAAAGTTATCCATATGCTTCCAATGGTTTCTAAGCCTTATTGATAATAACATAAAAAGTGATTCTACCATGCAACCAATGACATTATTAAAAAATTCATCTGTGAGGTTGATTTATAAATGATTTCAATTTTCCATCGTTAAGAACCATTAGATGAATTCTTTTTATTTTTCCTTTCTCATAAGGCTATTTATGGTCAGTGGCTAATAGATAAATTTAAGGTCATTTTGTTAACATTAACCAGCCACTAGTGACTTCATAAATAATCCTGATCGATGTGGACCATAAAATCAGATACTGCAAAGGACCTCATAGGGAGACTTGGTGTTGTGTAGTGTAGAGAGAAGAGTACGAACATAGAGAGTCAGAGGCCTAAATTCAAGTTCTACCCTTACTATCTTGATCAAATCCTAGAGCTCCCCCATACTTGTTTGTTCATATCTGAGGTGGGATTGCATTCTGCACTTCTGGCCTCAGGAAGTTGTGGTTGGCATAATGTAATACATATTAAGAGTATGTTGAGAAGTCTATAATGGAAGAGAGCAGTAGTATCTACTCATTGCTGTCACTACAGAGTAAGTACATCTTCATTGGTTCTGTCTTTTAACAGTTAAAATGAAATTACTTGATCAGCAGGGCTGGGACTAGGGTTGTGCAAATGACATGGAGTGCCTCATATGTTTTGTGCTCTAGGCACTTTGTTTGCCCCATCTTAATATAGGCCCTGGTAGGCAGCCCCAAGGGTTATTTGTTGAATCAGATTTTGCCTGTTTTCTCCAGAGCTTCCCTTGGAGATTGATTAGCCTCAGGGATTCTGATTCTTTCTCAACCTTCACAAAAGATACCAATCTCTGGTAGTTTAGAAATTTAAAGAAATGAATAGATTTTAAAAAATCTCATCAAAGTTTTGAGACTAATCCATGCCCTGTCCTAACCCCAAGTCAGTTAACAGAAGCTTCCAGAGTAACATTGTGGCTTGGTCTTCACCTAATCTCAAACTTCAGGTAGATTTGAAGAACATTCTGATTGTTGGATTTTATCATGGCCTAATGGAGAAGAAAGCTGCACTGAGACAGGGCAATACATTCCTTCTAGTTTCCTCTCTTCCTTTTCAGAATGATCATCAGGTTATTAGCCAGGAGATCATTAGGTGCTTATTTTAAAAGATGTCTCAGCAAATATTTGTTTAAATGATCAGGCAATTAATAGAGTCCTTGCTAAAGGACAGGACATGGTAATGTAATCTGTAAGATGGGCATGTTTGCAACCTAGAGATAAGGGAAGTGCTTCAAAGAATGCTACCTTTAAAAACATAGAGAAGCTTGTAAAGTGGTCAGCTGTTTGTGTTGACCACTTTAAAAGCATTTTTAACATCCTGAATTTCAAAGATTCTATCCTTTACTCTTCAAGTTTTACTTAGTTTGCCTGATTACACTTGTTAATTGCTGAGCTGACACTGTTAGTGGGGGAAAAAGATGCTACTGTGTGCTCATTTTTTTCTTTTCTGGCAGTGTACTAGTGAAGTTTTTACTGGCTTTGGCAAAGCTCTCACAAATATAGCTCAAGGTGTCATACGAAAGGATAGCAGAGGAAAATATTATAAAAACATGGCACTAGCATCAATTAAAGAGCCATGAAAACAAAGAACACAGCTGGAAACTCATGCAGTAGAGGTAAAAAATTTTAATTAAAATTGAGATGAATTTCTTTATTAGTATTCTTTGATATTAGATAAAATTATACATATGTGTTACATGAATCATTCTTATTTATGTAACGTGAAAAAATGTATGAACAAAGTCTTAAAAATGATGGGGGGTGGGATGAGAACAGACTTGTGTGTTTAATTTCTTATTAGGCCACCATCAGTGCCCATTGTATGTGGCATTGAAATCCCACTTACTACATATGAGCTCTGAGCTATGGCTTAGTATTTAGGAATCAAGAATATATAATTATTTTGATATTAACAAGTGTCTGTAGAGCACTTTGTAACTCACAGATAATTCTCCTACATTATTTTATTTGAGCTTTAAGACAACACTGTAATGTAAATAGAGATTATTATCTTCATTTTATATATTACAAAACTGAGGGTTGAGAGAAAGTCTTATCTAAAGTCCACAGCCTATAGAGAGCCAAAATACAAACTTAGGCCTACTTATGTCATATCTAGTTTTTATTTTCTTCCAATAAACCATATTCTGAATGCCCTAGTCATCTATAGTATATAAAAGACAATTAAAAACTTAGCTATCTATTGCTGTGATAGGTGTGGAAAAAATATTTTTTAAGATGTATGATGATGTTTATATATTTCACAGCATGGGGGACTAGACAGATAGGCAAAAAGAAATAGCTTAGTGTTCATCACCATTTATGGTAACAGCTAAAACATAGATGTATCAGATAGTGGAGTGTTTCAAATATCAAAATCCTCTGAGCAGTCGGAGGTCTATGGCTGTGAAGACAGCAGCACTGATTGGCAGTCACCAAGGTAGACAACAAGATACTTCAACTCAGAAGCTTGCTATACACAACCCACAATGGGAGGTATGGAAAGCAAGGATTCTAAGACACCACTTACCTGGCAAAAGTCACCCTTCTTGATTGATATGTTTTTATTTTTATGGTTTTTCTTAACACAATATAATATATCATGGAACACCAGAATAGTATGAGACAACAAGGGGAGATAATGTTACAAAAAAGAATAGCATGCATAAATAAAATTAAATATAAGATTTTAGTAGAGAATTAACATTTTCACAAAGAGAATGTGAGGATTTTGCAAATGTGTATGTATAGGCTCACAAAATACTACATATGTAATACTTGAGTTTTTATCTTTAATCATCTTTAAATGGAAATTAAAACTTTATTCTACCTTTTCATCTCTCTCTCCCCATCCCAGAAACTGGTATATTCATGACAAAATGACAAAAATTGCAGTAACCCACAGAAAAGCAATTTCTTGGGAGTTTTCTTGCTTACAACTTTTGGGGTTATTGTTTTTGTTACAATGTTCAAGTAGAATTTGATTTTTAAAACACTTGTTTTCCATCTGAATTTTTTTCTGTGTCAGAACACACTACTGCATGTTCTAAGTGCTATAGTAGCAATTTATGGTATTTACCAGCCTAATATGCAGTTATTGATGGTTAATTTCACTGTCTTTACCTTAAGAACAGAGCTTCTGGAAGAAATTCATCATGCTGTCTCAATAATAGCTAACCACATGATTCTCTTATTCCTTTTTTACAAAATAGGAATAATATTTAGCCACGATTCTTCAAAAGAATTGATTTTACTTTGTCATACAAGAAACAGTATGTAGAATAGCTGAATGCTAGCAAACAGGCAGGTCTTATTTGTGGAGAATAATTAAAAATACAAAGATACCTTAGGATTTTTTCTGTCTCTCCTCTTTCAGTATTTAGGCTTTGGAAATAACTTTTACCTAGCATAGAAGAAAATCCTAGGTCTATAAAATCTTAATCTGAAAAGTCAGTTTTCATCTTCATTAACCATACTTAATGTTATAGTATGCATGCACATATTGTCACACTATAAGAGAAACAGTGTCAGTGCTGCCAGGTACAGCCTTTGTTTTTTTATAAAAACACAGCAGCATATTTCCTTTGGGTCTCTGAATGTGCTGCCTTCTTTAGCCCAAAGAACTCGAACATGTCCCCCCAACTTATCAAGACTTTGTGGAAGGAAAGATGGTTTATAACTACCACAGTAAACCTCTAAGCTCTTTGATTCATTGACGAACTACTGCTCAGTTGAGGCCAATCCTAAACTTTAACTCTGAGCATAGAGCTCCATATTTTCAAGTGGGGAATGAATATTCACACTGACAAGCTTTGTAAAGTGACTACCTCATAATGTAGTGCCTAATTTTATTTGACAGCTCTGTGGTTTATAGTTCAAGTGCAGACACACGTTTAAAGGCAAGTCATTATTTCATTTTCTGGCCTATATTGAATCTGAAAGTCTCTTTATTACAGTAGCATATTCATGCTCTGCTGTTTAAGCAATGTCACCAATTTATTGTAAATCCTTATCTTCATTATTTTATAACAGTAATATAAATCTGCTTGACAACAGCCATTATTTTTTCCTGGCAAGTCTTTCTCACCAGAAAAAACAAACAAACAAACAAACAAACAAACAAACAAAAAACTGAGCTAACTCTTTAAGGGTTGGGCTACTTTCTTTTTTTTTTTAAACTCATAGTGCTTGATACTTTTTGTCTTTGATGCAATCCTCTCTGACTTTTACCTATAAGAACAAAATAACCTTTGGTACATAAGTTTAGAATGATTTCTTAACCTCATCACAATTGACATTTTTTTTTAATTGAGGCAAAATCCACATAACAGAATTGACCATGTTAAAATATACAATTCAGTGGCGTTTAGTGGCATTCACAATGTTGTACACCTGTCTAGTTCCAAAACATTTCATCACCTCCAGAGGAAACCCCGTACCCAGTTAGCAGTCAGTCACTATTCCTCCCTCTCCCCGGGCCCTGACAACCTTATAACTTGCTTTCTATCTCTATGCATTTATATATTCTGAATATTTCATTTAAATGGAATAATACAACATGCGTGTGACCTTTTGTGTCTGGCTTTATTCACTTAGAATACTATATATATTTTTTTAGGTTTATCTATGTTGTATAAGTACCT